CACCGTCTCCCAGTTGTCCACACTCCCTGTTGCACTTAGCCTTCTGGAGGCAGCTCCCCAGACACGAAGATGCCTTTTCCTGGGGGCCTAGCCCAGGAAGCAATGGACAGGACAACTGTGTGGACTCTGCGCTCAGCACCCTGGGGATGCCTGCTGTGTCCCTGCCTGTGACCCCAACCGTGATGTCTGCCAGCTGGGTACAGACCCAGCTGTGTGCTCCTGTGACTACCACGTCCCCCAGCTGGGCTTACCCCTGGGCTGTGTGCCCTGTGACACTGATGTCCCCTGACCGTGTGTACCCCTGGGCTCTGTGCCATGTGACCCTGATGCCTCCTGACTGTGCATACCCCTGGGCTGTGTGCCCCTGACATCCCCTGTGTGTCCCCCTGGGCTGTGTGCCCTGGGACCCCAATGTCCCCCAGCTGTATACACAGTGTCCATTTCCCTCTCTGCAGCCCACAGCATCTTGGGTAGCTCCTGGGACTCAGAAGGGTCTCAGGACATGAGCTCAGTTATATGAATTAAATTTTTGTGTTAATATGATCAGCAAATTCTTCTAACAAGAAAGTACTGAAGTTCAAGGGAAATTCTTAAGAATTCTAAAAAGATGTAAACTTCAGCTCTTTTTTTTTTTTTTTTTTTTTGAGATAGTCTCATTCTGTCACCCTTGGTAGAGTGCTGTGGCATCACAGTTCACAGCAACCTGCAACTCCTGGGCTTAAGTGATTCTCCTGCCTCAGCCTCCCAAGTAGCTGGGACTATAGGTACCCGCCACAATGCCCGGCTATTTTTTTGTTGCAGTTGGCACTGCTGTTTAAGCAGGTGGGGGCTGGGTTCAAACGTGCCACCTCTGTATATGGGGCTGGCACCCTATCCACTGAGCCACAAGTGCTGCCCAACTTCTGCTATTTCTAAAACAGTATTGGTGAGGTCTGAGAATTATAGGAGGAAACATAGAAAGAATCATCCTTATGGTATAATAATTATTGCAAAAATAAAAACTTAAACAGTAACTTCTGAGTTGTGATTTTCACACCACAAAGTTTTAAGATAGCCTGCTCGCTTCAGAAATTCCTCTGCGTGAAAACTTGATGAGCGAGCTGTAAGGACACCAGCATGGACGTGGGTCAGAGTGGCCAGGCTGCTCTCCTGAGGGGTGATCCCACCAGACCCCCTCACTTTCAGAAATAATTTCTATACTTTTTGAAAATCTTGAAGTTTTGGGAACCTGTTGTCATTGAACCAGCAGGGTCTGACTAATGAGAGATGAGGGTGTGCTTGTCTGAGGCAACCTGCTCTCCAGGGGACCTGCACACGGCTAGTCCTGGCTGGGGCCTGGGCTGGCCCTGGAAGGGTGGAGCCCATGGAGAGTAGTGTGAGGACGAGGAGTCGCCCCCAGCGGCTGCTGGGGGAGGTGTCCCTGCAGGCGCCTGTGTGCACAGGCAATGAGGCCACCAGCTAGGGATGAGGGCCACAGGCTCCCAGACCCATGGGCCACAGAGGGCACCCAGGTTCCTGACACCCTGAATGCCATGGCCAGGACGTGGCTCCCACCACCCTCCTCGCACCAGGAAATGCCTTCATGGCGGAGTGGAAGGGGATGCGCACAGGCCGAGCTGCTCCGAGACACTCGCTGTGCCACAGACGTGCTGCCTTTCCTTGAAACAATGACGTTTGTGTGGGGAACTCTGTGGGACCCAGCCCAGGACTAACTTACTCATTCGTGAAATATCTTTGTACGTCCATTCTGTGTCTGCCTCAGTAGGGTCTTACAATTGAATTTTGAGATAGCCTGCTATGACATCAAGTGAAAATTCATTTTACAATTTAAACTAATGAACTAGACACCCTGGCTATTAAACTAGTAGTAGCTTATCAAAAGAACTTTCTAAATTCCTGGGAATGTTAAAACAAAGCAGAGCTGGTTGTTTGACCTGTCTTCTTCTTTTGACACACACTGAAGCATTATGAATTATTCCAGACACGTGATGCCAGGTTGGGAAACGGACAAGAGTGGCTGTCCATTGAGGTGAGCTCAGTCTTGCAGGAGCTCAGCAGGGACACATGCTGCGTGTGCCTGTATATGCGTGTGCCGCGTGTGCCTGTATATGCGTGTGGGCTGTGTGTGCCTGTATATGCGTGTGCTGCGTGTGCCTGTATGTGTGTGGGCTGTGTGTGCCTGTATATGCGTGTGCCCCGTGTGCCTGTATGTGTGTGAGCTGCATGTGCCTGCATGTGTGTGAGCTGCGTGTGCCTGTATATGCGTGTGCCTGTATGTGTGTGGGCTGTGTGTGCCTGTATATGTGTGAGCTGCGTGTGCTGTGTGTGCTTGTATGTGTGTGAGCTGCATGTGCCTGCATGTGTGTGAGCTGCGTGTGCCTGTATGTGAGCTGTGTGTGCCTGTATATGTGTGAGCTGCGTGTGCCTGTATGTGTGTGAGCTGCGTGTGCCTGTATGTGTGTGAGCTGCGTGTGCCTGTATGTGTGTGGGCTGTGTGTGCCTGTATGTGTGTGGGCTGTGTGAGCTGCGTGTGCTGTGTGTGCTTGTATGTGTGTGAGCTGCATGTGCCTGCATGTGTGTGAGCTGCGTGTGCCTGTATGTGTGTGGGCTGTGTGTGCCTGTATATGTGTGAGCTGTGTGTGCTGCGTGTGCTTGTATGTGTGTGCTGTATGTGCCTGTATGTGTGTGAGCTGCATGTGCCTGTATGTGTGTGAGCTGCGTGTGCCTGTATGTGAGCTGCATGTGCCTGTATGTGTGTGAGCTGCGTGTGCCTGTGTGTGTGAGCTGCATGTGCTTGTATGTGTGTGTGCTGCGTGTGCCTGTATGTGTGTGAGCTGCGTGTGCCTGTATGTGTGTGAGCTGCGTGTGCCTGTATGTGTGTGAGCTGCATGTGCCTGTATGTGTATGTGCTGCGTGTGCCTGTATGTGTGTGTGCTGTGTGTGCCTGTATGTGTGTGAGCTGCATGTGCCTGTGTGTGTGAGCTGCATGTGCTTGTATGTGTGTGAGCTGCATGTGCTTGTATGTGTGTGTGCTGCGTGTGCCTGTGTGTGAGCTGTGTGTGCCTGTATGTGTGTGAGCTGTGTGTGCCTATATGTGTGTGAGCTGCGTGTGCCTGTGTGTGTGAGCTGCATGTGCTTGTGTGTGTGTGTGTGCTGCGTGTGCCTGTATGTGTGTGAACTGTGTGTGCCTGTGTGTGAGCTTCGTGTGCCTGTATGTGTGTGAGCTACATGTGCCTGTATGTGTGTGAGCTACATGTGCTTGTGTGTGTGTGAGCTGCATGTGCCTGTATGTGTGTGAGCTGCGTGTGCCTGTGTGTGTGAGCTACATGTGCCTGTATGTGTGTGCTGTGTGTGCCTGTATGTGTGTGAGCTTCGTGTGCCTATATGTGTGTGAGCTGCGTGTGCCTGTATGTGTGTGAGCTACATGTGCCTGTATGTGTGTGAGCTGTGTGTGCCTGTATGTGTGTGAGCTTCGTGTGCCTGTGTGTGTGAGCTACATGTGCCT